CGGGGGGCCACCTCGTTTGAGGGTTACAATCGTCTCCGGGCACCCACCTGCCCGCCCACCCAAGCCCCCGGCCTTACCAAGTGCGCTTGTTGTCGAAGAAGAGGACAAGGTAGAGGTGCTCGCGTGCTTCCTGAGTCATCTGCTCCCCCAGCTTCAGCACCTCCAGGGGGGGCACGGGGATGGGGACACCATGGTGGAACATGCCTTCCCGCGGCATCTTGGGGTCGATGATCTGCCGAGGGGAGCGGGACAAGGCTGAGAGGGGAACGGGGAACCCCCAGCGCCGCTCTGTGGGAAGTGAGGGCGGGGGGACACACACACATGTGGGTTTGGGAGCGGGAGCATGCAGCCAGCGGTACTCACCAGCGCCGGGTAGGAGGGGTAACCCCGGCACTTGGCCCACACCAGGTCCAGGGCATCCAGGGAGGAATCCTCATCCTCAGAGAGCCATCCTGCACCGCGCCCCATGCCCTTGCGCACCACTGTGCCAGAGGAGAGGGGAGTCACCGCGTGTCCTCCCCCCACGCGGCTGCACCGCTGCGCGGCCGCGGTACTTACTGCCGTGCCCCACGCCTCGCCCCGTGCCCACAGAGTAGGACTCGTTCTCTGTCCCCGACGTGTCCTCACTGCTGTCCTCCGGAAAGTTCACCCGGGAGAAGGAGGGTTTCCCTCTGCCCTGCTTGGAGGGCGTCGTGCTGTGGAGAGGGAGCAGAGCTGTCAGTAGGAGCCATGATAAGCTTCCAGAAACCGCTTTCGAAAAGGAGGGGGGCACACCAGGGCTTGTGGGGTCCAACCACCGGCCTTGGCACTGGGAAGGACTTGGCAGGGGTACTGGGAAGGAAGGTGGGATGGTGCTTCTGCCAGGGCGCTGGCCGGACCCTCACCCAGTTTCACCCAGAGGGTGTGCACTGACGCGACTTAGAGGCGCAGGCGGGAGCCTGCTGGAAGGGCCGGTGCTGGAGCAGCCGCTGTGCCAGGAGGGAATTCCCCGTTCATGCTCCCTACTAGCCCTGTGCTGTACACTCGCACCTTCAGGTTTTACGTTAAAAAAAGGCACAAAACTCGCCGCTTTCCAGGGTTTAGCTAACAGCAGCCGGGCCGCAGGAGGGTGAACGAGACTGGTACCACCAAACAGGCTCCTCGTCTGGCAGCTCCAGGCTGAGAGCCACCCACTGCCACCCCGGGCAGCATCGGTGCCACCAGAGCCAGGCCAGGGCCGGTACCTGGTACGGTCTGAGGCGGCACTGCTGCTGCTGCTGCTGCTGGACTCCGAGTCAGAGCTGCTCCGGGGGAGATTGCAGTCGTTGCGGTACACCAGGAAGCTCTTCTTCACTGGCTGGTTCCCGCTGCTGAAACCGTTGGCCGGCAGGTCTGCAAAACACCCCGCCAGGAGAGCGTTACCACCGCGTGGGACCCCCGCCACGCGCTCCCGGCAGGGCCG